CGCTCTGCAAGGGATGTCGGTGACATTGCCTCTGTTCATCGCATGAGAGCAAACCCAGAAATCCATCAGTGGTTGAAAGAAAAGGGCAGCCCTTACGTGTGTGGCAACCGTTAATGTTTACAACAATGCTGTAACACACACACACACACGCGCGCTCGCACACACACACACACACACACACACACACACACACACACACACACACACACACACACACACACACACACACACACACACACACACACACACACACACACACACACACACACACACACACACACACACACACACACACACACACACACACACACACACACACACACACACACACACACACACACACACACACACACACACACACACACACACACACACACACACACACACACACACACGCACGCACGCACGCACGCACGTACGGACGCACGCGCGCACTTTTTTCATAATTATGAAATCTATGCCAAAAACAGGTACGTCATTACACCGGGAGACACTTGGTTATGCCAAGATTCTACGCCAATTTTTCCAAAATATTATGGTAATTCAACAGTTCCAGGTAACAGACGTGGTCACCTGCAAATAAGTCAGCGCAAAACGCGCAACTCAAAAGGCCTTTGAATGATAGCAACTGCCGCGAGTCTGTGCGGATCCTGACAAGGAAAAAATATTGAAATAATCAAGCATGCAAGCTTCCATATCCTAATGTTAAGCACACGGCAGTATGATAAGGCTTGCACAAGACATCGATACCTAAGCCAGAAGGTTTTGATGCACTGTATCACAGATCAGAAAACAGTTCTCTACAGGAAATCAGTGTCCAAATCAATTAGCAGACAACTATTGCTAAACGTACCTTACCTGAACAGCAGCGCTAACAATCAATATTTCGTGATGGTGCTTGCGAGTTTATCCTCTGTCAAAGTTTACCGATGCGCAGCGATTCTTATATCCTTGGTCCGCGTTGCCTTATACCTTTGCTGAACTGTGCACTTAAAAGTTTAAGTATGCTATAATGTGTGTCATTGGTGCATGTCTGTCGACTACTTTCTCCCCTAATTGTGGGCGTACGCTATCCGTAGACATGTGTCCCCAGGTGTTCATTAAACAAGCCTAAGCATTGTTCTTTTCACATACAATTTCACCAGAAAAAGACCACAAAACATTTTGTGTACATCCTGTGCGTACAGAACCGTACACCATATGTGGTGTATTCTGCTCTATTCTGTGCATTTTACTTTTGGTCCATTGAGACCATGGGTGTAGGAACGGGGGCTTATGGGACCCTGCCCCCCCCCCCCACACACACACGCTCTTCAAAGGGCTAGCAATGCTAACTGCCCCCCCCCCGCCCCAACTTTTCAGATTAAGGTTGCATTTGGCTTACTTTTACACTACATTTACCATGCATGCCGATTTATCTAGTTCACCTGACATCGCTCTTAATATGCGTCATCTTTTTCGTTTGCTCATTGACCAGCGCTTAGTGTTACAGCCGCAAGGCCGACGCCGCACGGGCTGGAGACTGCTACGCCGGCTGTCGAGTTTTTTATTGCTAAGATTTGCGAGCGTGCATGTTAAAAAAAGCATGCTACATAAATTGTACCACTAAAAGATTATAACTGAATGATGAATATTTTCACACAAACATGGCTTGGCCATGGTAACAAACATGGTTGACCACTCGCTCTGCAATCAAATTTTCATCTTCAAATTTGGATCAAGCATATCAATCTACAATCTACCTTTGCGATGTCCTCAATGTCTGTAGAACCCAGATTAAATTTCTGACAAGGCATCCGAATTCTATCGGCTTAGAGTCAACTAAAGCATTGTAAATTAAGAGGGCCGGTGATTTATTCCATGCAGACGTCCAGCAGGATTATAGTTCAGACGCGATCACTACACGCAAAAACACCAAACGTGACAAAGAATACAGCAACTTGTAGGAATACTCCGTCTACGGAATGAATAGGGTCGGTGTAGTGAGTATGGTCGAGGAAAACTTGATAGCCTGTCATTCTTCGGCATTACACCAGCTGGGTGCTTCCTGACTGTTTCCAAGAACCATCTCACACATTTCACAATAGCCTGGTGCTCTTCGCAAACTCAGTGCACAACTTGAACGTATAGCTATAGGTAATAGCCGTGCACCACCCCTAGCTCTAGTATTGTTTTCGTTCATCTGTCTTTCGAAATGAGGCTTAAATCAAGGTTGCACATCAGATATATTGACGAAATTTGTTACATCGGGGTGTAGGAGACTGACGGGTTATATTTATTTGCTGAAATTAGAAACGCTACCCCAACATCTCTGTTATACCGGCACAGAGCGCTCAATAAAATGGATTGCCTTCTCGACACCTTGTTTGTAGTACTGCTAGAAGGGACCTAAACTACAGCAATACGCTTCAAGCCCATAGTGCCCCATTACACTAGACTTTGCGTCGGCACGCCCATGACTAAACAACAAGCAGCCATAAAATCTCAAATATTAAGAGCGTTGCGCGTTTCTGCTGGCCTTCAGTCGTATGAGCAAAATGTGTTTGAAATTGAATTAAATGGCAAGTGCTCCTCCTTTTCCATGACAATATATACCCGTAAACACGAGCGTCCGGTGCCGCTTGCATTGCGCTTCCTCGATGTAATTCCTCTTCACGTCCAAAAACAAGCCGTAAAAAGGTGAAGCAAACGCATTCTGCATATGTGGAGCGCGTTTATCGATGACGTAATGTAAGAACAGGGATATACCGCGCTACCGCTACACAGCGGAATGATTACAAACAGGAGCGGATCCAGTATTTCGTGAAACGGGGGAGCACGCAGCGTTCTGGTGCCTCCTAGAGTTTGGGGCCCTCAAAAAATCTCTAATTAGATCTTAACATAAAAAGTATGTGTACATTACATTCCTAGCCTTTTAGCCAAAGAAGCACTTTTTTAGCTTTTTTAGCACTCGTTTTCTAAGGACTGCGCAGTGTAACATGGGCTCTAATACTCATGTTAGTTATTACATGCATATATGTACATGAACATGCATATATATATATATATATATATATATATATATGCATACATGCAAGAGTAAAGACGGGACACCACGCAAAAAATACGCACGACTTAGGGTAGCATGACTAGCAGTTCTCATCTCAATTTCATTCTAGTTGACCGCTCCAGGAAACACTGGTGTTCCGTTGGGCGTAAAAGTTAATGTACGCACCAAAACATTGAGGTTGAAATGAAAAATGGGGTAAAATACCAAACCTCAATGAACTTAAGTACAGGGAGAGTTCAGGTGGGATTCGTACAGGAAACGTAAAATTTCAAACCAGTTTACTGGGCACCTCAGTGGCGCACGTATACAGAAGGATTGCACATTGTTACGAGGAAAACATGACAGGTAAACACGTTAAGTATACTTAATGTCGAATTAAGTAATTGCATCGCGTGCGTAGTTTGATACATGCAGTTTTGCACAAGAAACAATGGCTGTAAAGAAGACATTTTAACGGCAGGAGACAAGTATTCCTATATTTAAATTGTTGCGCCCAATTGTTAACATTGTTCAAGGCAACTAAACATGCATCATCTTGGGACGTGATATGAGCAGCGTTTTTACGTGAAGTACATCGAAAAGTGGCGCTTAAGTCATTGCCTTGAACACCTTGACCTAATTATTGGTGCTGGTCACCCATGACTTCGAATTTGAACGTCTGTGTTTCAATCAGCTTTCCGCACGTGCTGGATATGGAGTGTTTTAATAATGTCATAGTGAAGAATATTCACCCTCATTTAACGACATTCACTACTGATCACGAAACATTTTTGATGTTAGCTTGCCATTGCTGAAAACCCATCCCATAGTAACCACAATGCTGGTGTATGATGCCGGAAACGATTATTAACTCAAACTTATTTGTTATTTTAACTTGTTTGAACTTATTAACCCGAACTTGTGATGTCTGCATGATACTGACAATCGAACAGCCAAGATCGGCGTCCAGAATTGCCCACTGCTGGTGTCGATTTCGACAATTATATTTTCAGGCATAGAGCGGCTATAATTCCATTTCATATTCCGCCTGCTTTCAGTGTTTTTCGCAGCCCAAAATGCAGGGAAACCTAACCGGGCTCAACTTTGACATTCAGCGACTAATGCTTGGCGCGGCACCTCCAGCCGGCTTCATTGTGTCGTGGAGCGGACATGGATTTGTTACTAAGCTCGGAGTCCGGCTGGCTAGCCTCACGCGCGTGATTTTGGTAATGGTGTCGACTGTATGCGCGCAGCAGGCGCTGGGCGGCGCAACGCTGCCTGCCAATAAGGACGATTATTCATACCCTGGCGGCCGCTCTAGAAATTAGTTTGGAAGCTCTGGTCTTTGGACATTTTGTCCTTTGGACAATATGTACATTTAAGTTCATCAAAGTACATTCTGTACTTTGGACATGCTGTACTTAAGATATTCTGGACATTGGGTATTATGATACCGACCCCCTCTACTCTGCACCATGTTGGAAGTTACTTTTCAATTTGGACAGTGTGCGCTTTGGACATTATGAACTTTGGACATTCTGTACCTTGGTCATTCTGTACTTTGGACATTCTGTACCTTTGGACATTCTGTACCTTGGACAATATGATACGGGCCCAGAAGCTTCTCATTGTTTTGCCATAGGTTGAGACCGGGCCAAACACCCTGATCAGGTCATCAGCCTTTGCCGTGTCGAGCACGAACGTATCTTCCATATCAATTCGTTCGCAGACGGCGGATGGCAACAGTACGTATTGGATTTGTCCTTGGCCGTCAACCATCAGATGATGCGGCCTGTGCTAACCACGTGGTCATTGTGCGTGGGTGCATTGTGGACCGAATGACTACCTTTGTTTCAGTGCACTTCTTATTACCCGCATGAACTGGGAGGAGCCAGTTGTCCTGCCGAGCCGCCACATGAGAGCAAATGATCTGATACGGCCAGTGTCAAGCACTGTTTCAACACAGCTGTCGTAAGAGAAGAAGCGTGGACATTGTATTGAGCGATGCCATGTTACATCACGTCACGTTCGACACCGTATGCGGGGTGTCAGTGTGGCTGCCGACGGAGGAGGTGAGCACCCGGGCCGGGGCGGGGCAGATGCCGTGTCCCGCCGCCTCCTGCTCGCCAGCCGACTGCACCTGGTGGCACCACCGACTCCGGGTTAGTGGGAGCGGGCGGCCACTGTTGCAATAGTGCGCCCCGAAACACTATATATTATCATCGATAGTGCCAGGGCGGGCGTAGGGGGTGACGAGCAGAACTGGTTCCAAACTGGCCCCGATTCTGTTTATGTACTGGGGTTTCATGGCTGACATCATTATGGTGAACATGAACACTGTAAAAATGGAAGATGGATGTAGCAATGCCTTGCACGGTCAATACCACGCAAGCTATGCTGCTTCGCAAGATGACACGTGATTTTTGTCTGGACACTGCGGAACAGCACAACACAGTACGGCAATTACTGTTAGGTGGGGACAGAAGACGAGGAGACCTCGGTCCGCACACTTAAGAGTAACTACAAAATGGTGATGAACTCTCGTCACTCACGGCCAGGCACGCGATTTCGTGAGTGCCCAATTCGAGCGCGAAGACACGTGAGGGGACGAGCACGGTCGTTACGAACAATACGTTTGGGGAGAGGAAAACATGGACATCTCAACCGCTTTTGGCGGCTGAGGACTGCGCGCGATCAAGGGTCACCCCGCCCCTGACCAGGGGCTCGCCCCGGGCAGGGTCCCGGACCCTGGGTCCCTGTGGTCGTCCGCCCCTTACTGACCTCATCACAGGGCCGTCTTGCAGACGGTTCTCGCTGCGCACTTGTCGTAGCAGCACTTCATGCTGCCAGTGCAGTCACCGTCCGTGGTGCAATACTGCGGCCCGCTGAAGCTGGCAAAGGCTGGGCAGTCGTCCCGCACCGGCGGACACCGGCCCGGCTTGTTGTTGTCACAGCAGTACAGCTCCTTTTCGCCATTTGGCCCCGGCCGCTTGCAGAAGTAGAAACAGCCCGATGTGGCGGCGACGCACGCCGCCAGGAGAATGGTCATTTGCAGACGCATGGCTGGAACGCTGGGCCGGACACGGTCGGTTGTCTGTGCGCTGGCTGTGGCTCGCCGATGGGCTTGTGATGCGGCCGACGGCGGCCGCCGCGCCTTTATACCGGCGCGGCCGACGCCCGCGGCGACGCTCTGTCGTGGTTTTCCAGCTCGGTAGCTCGTGGAGAACGCAGAAGAGACCCGATCGGCCGCTGCGCAGACCGCCCAGTGAGCGGGTGACGCTAGCCATTCCAACTCGATTCGCGTTCACCGAAGGCTGACCGGTTGCATGGGACCGACCACGCGCCGGTGGGTTGCTGCAGGGCGCGCTCTCAGCAACACGGAGCTGGCCGGATCGCACACTGAGCGGGGCGATCGGTGTGTGGGTCACGAACATGCTCGTCACCATGTTTGTGTTCTGGGACGTAGTTTCGCGAAATGCATTTCAGTAGAGGGGCTGAAGAGAAAAATGGCAAAACCTTCCCAAAAATACGCAAAAATGGGTTTCTTCCCGGATTTGACTCGCTTTCTTCTCAAAGTTGGGGGACTGAAGTCCAAATTGGCAGGGGGGAAGGGGGCTGCTTCTTCCACTGACAGATGTGACGCGACTGAAGTGAAGCGTCTGGTGAACAGTAACAGGTAGCGCAATCCCAGCAGACTGTCGCGCCTCGCAACGAAATCGCGATGCGGTGTGTGCCAGGAGCGGACACTACAACAACGTAATTACGTGACGTGATGATGTAGAGGACCCATTCTGATATTTGGAGGGTCCATTACTGACTGTGAAGGCCCCACTCTTGCCTGTAGAAGATCATTCTTGCTTGTAAGAGCTCACTATATAGACTTGGGGCCCACTTTGACATTTCTGAGTTCGCTCCCCCAACTTATACACCGTCTCCGCGCCCTTGCGCGCGCGCGACGTTGACGTGCGGCCTCAAAGCGACCCTGGACTCTAATCAATGATCACACAAGCAGGCGTTGTTTTGGAAAAATATCGCAGTAAAATTATTTTGTCTCGTTACTCAGTATATGAAAGGTTATACATGGCTTATGCTGAAGAAAGTGGCATTATCACAGAGTTGTTTTGAGATGCTCTTGAGCTTGTTGTCTTTATTTAGTTGCCGTAAAAGTCGTTCTTTGAAACTGTGTGACTTAGCGGACAAGTTCTCCCAAAAATCACCAAAGCTCTCCGGTTCCTTTTTCACGATAACCTCATCCGCCAATTTTTGTGTGCAGTGAAGTCCATCATTTGTCTTGCATTGTCGACGTTCTCCCCCAACGACCGCACGCCGTATGTGACCGCAGGTGAGCCGCAGCGTAACTTCTCGGGACTAGTTCCGCTGGCTTATCGCCTAGTTCGCAGTGCTGTTCTTCCTAGGAACTAAAACTATCAGGCTTTGCGCTACACGTCCGTGAAGATGTGCACACTATTTCGCGTGACTACGTCAAGGTCATTCAGACATACATGACACAAGGCAACATCATCCAAATGTTGCTACCCCACGAGCCAGGCGGCGTCCAAGACCAGGAAGAATAACATCGCCCACCCGTTCAGATCTGACGTTTGTGAGCAGGATTTCCACAAGAGCCCGACGTCAATTAGCTCTTAAACAACGCTGAGCAAGCTGTACAAGCTTTAATCACGAATAATATTTTGGTTGTTTTTGTTTGTTTGGATTAGAGCCCTTCCGACCAGAAATGATCATTTCATGACTATTGGATGAACGAAGATGGTTTACGGTGCGGCAGACGTGTGTGCGTCTGGGGGGGGGGGGGGGGGCAACCGCCGAGCTTTAACCCGCGCATGTGCGCTGGGTACCCGGTTGGGGTCTCCCTCCTACGGGGCTCTCGACCCACCTGTGGCTGACGCATGCAGCCTTCCCCGGACGAGCGAGGTGTCGCGAGAATGCAGGATGAAGCAAGATGGAGGATAACAGGGTCGGATGAATTACGTTTTGCGCTGCCTCATGTCGACAAGTTGTACACAGCTTTTGCACTTGCTAGTCACTGTGGAAATTGGACTTGTAATCGAAAAAGTTGAGGGGAAACTCATAACCGAGTATTTAAGTACAATTAAACATCTCAAACACGCGAATAGATATGCAAGAACACCACAAAAAGCCGAAACACGGGCAAATGGCGGCGTTTGGCTCAGTGAACACTTCCCGCACCGCGCTGCCATCTCTCGATTTTTTTGAAGCACTGCATAAGATATCTGTGAGGCTAGCGATTTAGTCCACGATTTATTCGGCGACAAGCTCCGATTTCTCTTTAACATAAGTCTGTAGGTCAGATATGGCACGAGAAGGCCGAGAATGCCATTCATTTTGCAGTATCATGTGACCTCAATGTTCAAAAGCTAACTCAAAAGACGGCGAACTTCTCATCGCCATAACATTACCGACCGATTTTGAATTTGTCAGCACCAAAATATTCCAAATCGCAAGAACCACCGTCCATGAAGAAGTCCTGACCCCTCAAGGTCATTCTTCAAGGTCAAACGCGCGCTCAAAGGACGTAGAGCTCTACATCACAAAAATTACCGGTTGATTTCCAACTTACCTGCACCAAAATATTAACAACAGAAAGTATTAGCGTCCGTCAAAAAGACCTGACCTCTCAATGTCATTCTTAAGGGTCAAATCAGGCTCAATGGAAAGGGGAACTCCACATCATCATAAACTTACTGGCCGATTTGGAATGTCCGAGCAGTAAAATATTCACAAGAGTAACAACAAGCGCTCGACAAAAAAACCGTACTAATCAGGGTTGGTAATTTCGAATCAAATGTGGGCTTCAAGGTCAAACGCAGGCTCAAGGTAAGGAGCCTTGTATGACCAAAAATACGCCGGCCGGTTTAAAACTGTCCAGCACCGGAACATTTATCATAGAAAGAACTAGCGTACGGCAAAAAGTCCTGTCCTCTCAATGTTATCCATCAAGGTCACACTCAGACTCAAAGCGCAGGGACTCCATATCACCAAAAAAACTACCGGCCGATTTAAGCTTCTCGGGCATCAGGATATTCACCAGCGCTTCCAACGCCTCAGTCTCATGACTCATGCTCACGACTCAGTCTCATCACTCAGGCTCATGACTTCTCCAAATTACCCTTCAAGGTCAAATGTGGACTAAGATAATAGGCAACTCGATGTCACCAAAAACACCAGCCGACTTTTAGCTTCCAAGCACCAGAATATTCAACTCCTCAAGACCTAGCGTCCGTCATTAAGTTTGGATCTCTTGCAGTTGAAATTCAAGGTTAAGCTGCTCCTCGAATTACGGAAGCTTTGGCGATTTGTCCAGCGATTTACTGAGCGACGAGTCCTCAGTTCTCTGTAAACACGCCTCAAGGTCAATTATGACACAACTTGACCTTTATTTTGCTAAAGCATGTGACCGCTTAAGGTCAAAAGCTAGGTTAATCCGATGGCTAACTTCATGTAACCAAAATATACCGACATATTTTAATCTTACCAGCATCAGAATGTTCACCAAAGAAGAAACTAGCGTGCGCTTAAAAGTTCTGACCTCTCAAGGTCATCATTCAAGGTCAATTGCAAGCACAAAGTACATATCAAAAAAAATATTGGCCGATTTTAAACTTGTCGGCACCAGAATATTCATCATATAAGAAAAAGCGTCCGTCAAAAAGCCTTGATCTCTCAAGGTCATCCCTCAAGTTCAGCCTCAGGCACAAAATGACAGAGAACTTCGCATCCAAAATATCCAGCCGACTTTATTTTTCCCCGTGTTGGAGATCCAATCAAATTGAGCCTGCGTTTGATCTTAAAAGGTGGCCTTGAGAGGTCAGGATATTTTTATGGACGCTAGTTGTTGCGCCTATGAAAATTGGATGTTCGCAAATTTAAGATTTTTCAGTAATTTTTGAACGATATTGAGTTTCCCGTCCTGTCATCTACCTTGTGACCTAGAAGGTCACGCCATATTACTAGAAAAGGTAATTTTTGACGCGCTCGTGCCATAATTAACTTTGACACTTTTTCAGAGAAATCAGAACTCGCTGCCAAATAAATTGCTGAATAAAGACCAGTTTCACGGGCGTACAAAAAAGCGACAATTTCGCACGACTAGTTGTCAGTACTTCAGCGCCACACGAACGTTCGAGGAGCATATTTACTAAATAAACAGATTGTGTTGCCAATAACAGTCTTTACAGACCTCCACCACCAACACTCTACCTCCACTCTATTTAACAATAATGACACCCCTTATTTCCTTCCAGGCAAGGTGCCCCTTGAGTAGAACACCAAGGGCACCTCACCGGTTCCGGTCAAGAGCTGAAGGGCTACTTCGTCCCATCGCGAAGCGTCTTCTGGCTGTCATTCTAGCGACACGGGGCGGCATTTCCTGGTCGACCCGGAGGCCATTGGGAGGATATATCATATCACATTGTTCCCCTCCCTGACACGGGAGGCCCTCTGATCCGCGCAGTTCGCCCCGTATCAGCACAGGAACAGTCATAGACGCAACAACATCCCTGATCGCCAAAGGCGGTTCAGTAATTGTCACACAGGCTCCAGTTCCGTGTTTTTCTGTTTTCTTCAGAGATATTGATGAATCCCTGAACGTAGATCGTAGATTAAATGGGATCCTGAGCTTGTATTAACGTCCATGTTCGTCTCAAAATGTTCAAGATTCAGTCAGAATTGACTACTGACAAAAATTAGGTGATATAGTTTTGATCATACGCGCTCGCACGCCATAGCAACAACAGCCTGAACGCCTGGCGTTGCAGCCTCTATCGGCCGCGTGGCGTCGGCCTGCGGCTGTAACGCTAAGCGATGGCCAATAAGCAAACGAAAAAGATGACGCATCTTGAGGAACATGGCTGGTGAACTGGGGAAATTGGCATGTATATTTAAATGTGGTGCAAATGTTCAACCGCAATCTGAAAAGTGGGGGGGGGGCAGAACTCTGCTGGCCCCCCGCCTTAAAAGTGGGGGGGGGGGCATGGCCCCCTGCCCCCACCTCGTTCCTACGTCCATGGCTATAACGTTCCAACCCTACTTTGTATCATCTATCGAATCAGAATAAGATAGGCCATACATTTCAGGTTTGTAACCAAAATTGC